CAGCTGATGCCCAGCCAGCCTCGCCGGCCGCGACCGCTGCCATGAATCCTCCCACAATGCAGAGGACCCGGAGGGGTCCTCTCCAGTGCGACGCGCTGCAAGAAACGCGAGGTGCTTTCCGAGGCAACACGTCGGGTTCGGATTCGAAATGGAAATGGTCTGCCCCAGAACGGTTCCCGCATTTCAGCACTACGCTTTTGAAATTCCAGTCGTGTTCTACTTTCATGTTGCTTACTTAAGATAAGCCTGCTCATTTTATAAAAGTTAAAAATTAAAATCTGCATTAGTGTTTTGATCACGTATCTTGAAAACAACACAAACAACACCCTCCCCGCGCTCACCACCAGGCCCCTCACCAGCAGAGAACACGGGGCCGTCTGTGCTGCGCTGTGAGGACTCTGCAGCACACGTGCCTCGGGAACCCGTCTCTGCTGCGCGCGAGAGACCCTCGAAATGCTCCGGTTCACGTACGCGAGCACAGCGAGGGAGGCACACCGTGTCTTGGAACAGGCTAAATCACACCCAGCAAGTTCCTACCCCAAATTTAGCAAACTGTGCTTGCACTACATTGATATAAGCAAATGCAAGATACCAGATAAAGGCAGCACCGGAATTCAAACACAGTCAATATTCAGTTAAATCAGGAATTCGGCTTCCGTAGTTCTACAGCTACGAATGCCACTTCACAAAACAGAACACGAACACCCACAGGGCAGCGACCCTGTTATTGCAAGCACAGAAGACATCCATCTTTTCCTGTGCGCGTTGTCATCCCGGATGCAGCTCTTGCCGAAACCTAATTACATTATTGCTTATTATCTGTAACAAAACTCAAACATTTTCCTTATGCCCTCAGACAGCAGTCACAGAGGAATCCCTACATCCACACCTCAATATATACGATCATGTAGAATATAAAGCACTCTGATTTAGTCCGATCCACCCACTACATAGCTCCAAACTTTTCCTCGCCCGCGTTCTCCGCGAGTCCAGCGAGAAGCCGCTCTGTGCCACGGCAAGGCAGCCAGGGCAGGGTGACAGTCTAACATGGTGTCCTGCTGGGATCCAAGAATAGCAACGCCTTAAAAGGCAGCGATGTTGAGATCACAAGGAAAAGAGAATTAGGGCACAGCTGTGGAGTTCTGTAGGCTAAAACATAGACTCAATATGTCAGAGAAAATTAAATCACAGAGCTACATGTAATTTCTAGTCTCTTTTATAACTGAGCTGTAGCTGTGCAGAATCTGTACTTGGGTCATACATGCGAGTCGCTGTGTTTCTGCACACAGGAATAAAACATGGAATTAATTTAAAAAGAAAACCCAAGGGATTTCTATGCGAACAACACCACGAACACCTATGTTTCGAACAATGTGCACGTACTGTTGCAGCTCAGGCACAGTTTTACAGCCAGTCTCCTACCCAGCTCTTGAGGGAAACAGGGAAGCTCCAGCACCGCTCATGAAACGCGCAGAGCTCACAGCTTTACCCGCAGTACAACACAAAGGAAAACTAAGCCAACACGTCAGCCAGCTAAATGTGTCTGAAAAATGCCTGTGTTCTCCTACAGCTGTCAGGCAGGGGAAAGAGACCCTTCCTCAAAGATGAAGGTGCCAAAACTGGTAACAAACTTCTGCAGAGGCTTTTTTCCCCTCGAAGCAGTGATGTTCTTACGTTTTTCGGAAGAGTATCTACATATAAATCTGCTAGTATTTCTTGATGCTTGAAGTCCAGTACTAGCTTCTCCTCTAACAGCATCCAATATCCACAGGACGCAGTCCTTCATCCTCTGCTCAAATCTACTGTCGCAACCGGTGTCCGCGTAACGAATTTTGCAGATACCAGGGCCTGCAGCCATCGGCGCGAGAGCCGTGCGTTGAGCCGCAGGGCTGCACGCCTTCTCCAGCCTCTTCTCCCCAGCTCCAGGCAAACCTCTGGAAGGCTCCACCACAGAGGTGCCTGCACAGGGCTGTGAGATGGTCAGGACCGCGGGGGCAGCGGGACCCGGCGGGTGACACGATGGCCTTTCGGCAGAGCTCCATCCACCCGGGGAGCGGCTGAGCCGTGCCTCGCCCAGCGCGAGCGGCCAGGCTGTACCTGACAAGAAGACTTCAATTCTCTCTTTGAAAGGCTCTGAAGGCCAGGGACAGATAAAAGAGAAGACAGAGGTGAAAAAGAAGCTCGCCACAAGGGAGCAAGAGACTGATTGGCACGAGGCATATGCGGCGAGCTTTCCTAAATAACGGGTACTTGAGCGCTAACGTGATACAGAACAGCAAGAAAACAGAGGTAGGAAGCTGCACATAATTACGACTTTGTTTAGTTAAGTGTATTTCCTGTGGAGCTTACAAAGCACGGCCGCATGCGAAGCGTGCAGTTTTGTTGATATCAGCCATCCTTTGTCCCTAAAGAGGTAAATTATACGTCTGATTCGTACACAAAGTTGAAAAACTCCAAGATTATGCTGGAGCTGCAGGCAGAGCTGAGGAGCAGCAACCTACAGGAGCCAGATCCTGCGCAGGGGTAATGGATGGAGGGATTTTACTGAGGGCAGAGGGGCCAGCAGCCAGGGAGCAGCTACAGCAGCCCAGCGCAGGGCCACGTGGGCAGCCTGGTGAGGCTCTGGGCAGGGGCTGGTGTTCGGTGGGACGTGACCCGTCGGGCCATCACCTCCCGCAGCCGGAGCTCCTGAGCAGTGCGCGCGTGGCACGGCCTGGGAACAGGAGGAACGCACCTTCACAGCCGTCACACGGGGAACGAGGTGCCCGGGAACGGGGGCGAGGAGCAGGAGGAGGACGCGAACTCAGCTGGCGGTGATGCAGGTGAGACGGCCGTTGTGGAACCTGCTCATTTCAGGAAGGTTAGAAGGCAGTCCCCGAGCACAGGCGCTGCACACAGGGGTACACGTGCACGCCAGAATTTAATTCGTAGAGAAAATGCCAAACGTTTGAGGCGCACTGTTTTTCCTGAGCAGAACCATCTATTACCTACTGTAAAGCACAGCCTGGCTCATGCACGTGCAATGTTTTTCACAAACACCGCACGTGGTGCAGAAAACAATCCCCTCCCTGAGGATGCAAAAGGAGGTCACCGATGCTCTCAGCGTCTCTTCCGCAGGCAGGCTCACCGCAGCCACGCGCGTTATCACCGTCCACGCTCAGGTCCTGCCTGCGGGGAGCCGTCAGCCCCCCGGGGGGGTCTGCAGGGCAGCTGCTCCCGGGGCCGCCCGCCCTCACCCCCTTCCCCGCAGGGTTTCTGCATCGCGACAGAGGTCCCAGCAGGACAAGCGTCACCGCGCAGCCCACGGCATCCTCCGTCTCCTCCCGCTGGAAGGGTGTGTTCAGCGCTGACATGGCGTGGCATTACACATAAAGGTATGTAAAACGTAGAAAGCCCAGGAAGAGGAATTAGAACAACAACAAAAAAATGCTGTTCTCGCTTGCAGAAGATTCCTCTGAAGCAGACAGAGGGCTGTGAGAGTGGTGAAATGAGTCTCCATCGCCTGGACCCTCCGAGCTGCTCGGATGCAGCCTGGCTGTCCCTTCTGGCCCAAGCTCTTCTGAAGGGACTCCACTCCTTTCTCCCTAGCTGGTTTTAGCACCCCTCTCACCCCGAATCTTCGACTTTGACCAAAACAAATACTAACTTACTGCGCCAACCAGCAGATTATTATTCCTTCATCAGGCCTAGGCGAAGCGCGGACGCTGCGAGGAAGCGCCTCACCCCCCCAGCCCTGCAGACCTCGCGTGCTGCCCTGTTGCCCCTCCACCCCGGCCCCGCAGAATTACAGTGCAGTGACTGCAGATGCACTTGTAGTGCTGATGTCACCTCCAGGCTTTTTCTCTTTTTTTTTTTTTTTTAGGTGAAGGCTCCTCTGTTCTGAAATTTTGTGCCGAAACTATAACAAGCCAAAAATCTCTTCAATGGGAAATTTCACAAACAGAGGATTATGACTTCAGCTACAGAATAAGCAGCAGGAGCAGATGGAACTCTTCAGAAACAATGAGTCCATTTTCATGCAAATTCCCTTAGTAGTTAAAAAAAGACGAAGAAGAAAAAAACCACCAAGATATCAGAATGGTTTCTAAATGGAAGGTTTTTGAATGATGCTAAAAGCACAGGGCTGGTAGCTCTCCGCAAACCCAAGCATTTTAGCAGCAGCCAGGGGGGAAAAAAAAAAAAAAAGCATGACAAACTAAAACCAGACTCCGGCTCCTCAGAGTCGTGATAAGAGAAATGGAAAATGGAGTGAAAGTATATTTTGGTTTTTATGATTTTGAGCATCATCACCGGCTTTGTGATAATGCATACTTCAGAGCTAATTCTTGCGCTCTTTAAGAGCGCAGACTTCATTCACGAAGCAGCATGACAAAAATTCTTTACCCACTTGATGAGTACAGAAGGTGACAGCCACCGAGAAAAAGGCAGCCACAGGGACACCGCCGGAGTGCTAACCTGCAGCGTGCCCCTCTTGGAGCACAAGTGCTCCCCTGATTGCAAGGACACAGACATGCATTTTTCATAGCTGAAATGTGGAAACTGAGCCAATTCTTTTGTTATTAATACTGGCAGCACAGCCTAAAAAACAAATACACGCACAGAGTTAGCAGACCCCGTTTCTGGCTCTTCCACTGCCCTGCTACTTAGCTTTGGTCTTCTGCCTTCGTTTTCCCCTCTCGTTCGCTCCTCGAGCGAGCGAATTGGAGCTGCTCCCTAACTCTCCGCGTGGCGAGGATGACCGCCTTCGCACAACACGCGGTGTAGCTGTCTCTGCGCCACACCACGGCACAGAACACCACATACAGAATACATTCTAACGGTCGCAGGTGGGAAGGCTTCGGAAGGCCCGTGTCATTCCGCTTCGAAAGGCTACTTGGTGTAACTGAGGTTTAAAGCAGCGAGGAAACTACATGCACAGAAAAGCAAGAAGGAAATCCACTGCCGTCCATCGTGCTTCTCCCCTGCGCGACGAGCCCGGGGAAACGCTGCAGCCAGGTCTCTTCCCGCGCCGCGTCCGGACGCCGGCGGTGAGCTCCTG